GGCGAATAGCAAAATTTTGCAAAAAAGGTGGGTAAAACGTTCATCACCAAGAAAGAAAAAGCCAGCGCACTCAGTGAGTTTTAAAATGCAATTTAAACCATTTTTGGTTTCGATCATAGTAGGCCATTTTCAGAATATATCGATTTTATATAAATTAGTTATTACATTCTTTATCATTTTTAATACCTATCTATATGATTTAAAATACGTGGATATGTTTTAAAATGCAATTTAAAGCATTTTTTGTTTCGATCATAGTAGGCCATTTTCAAAAAAAATATCGATCTTATATCTATATTAGTATTCTTTATCATTTATTATACCTAGATATTTTTTAAAATGCAATTTAAAGCATTTTTGGTTTCGATCATAATAGGTTATTTTCAAAAAAAATATCGATTTTATATCTATATTAGCATTCTTTATCATTTATAATACCTAGATATGTTTTAAAATGCAATTTAAAGCATTTTTGGTTTCAATCATAGTAGGCTATTTTCAAAAAAATATCGATTTTATATCTTTATTAGCATTCTTTATCATTTATAATACCTAGATATGTTTTAAAATGCAATTTAAAGCATTTTTGGTTTCGATCATAGTAGGCTGTTTAAAAAAAATATCGATTTTATATCTATATTAGCATTCTTTATCATTTTTAATACCTAGATATGTTTTAAAATGCAATTCAAAACATTTTTGGTTTCGATCATAGTAGGCTATTTTCACCAAAAAATATCGATTTTATATCAATATTAGCATTGATTATCATTTATAATATCTAGATGTGTTTAAAAATGCAATTTAAAGCATTTTTGGTTTCGATCATAGTAGGCTATTTTTAAAAAAATTATATCGATTTTATATCTATATACCTCAATCTAGAAATCCCTAAAATGCAGCTACCCTAATATGCAGATAGTACTGCCAAGATGCAGATGGTACTGCTAAAGTGCAGATGAAATTTATTTTCCCTAAAATGCAGATGAAATGCTGTTGCTTTAAAAAAGGGATAATGCAGATGATTTTTATCGTATAAAGTGCAGATAAGATGCTGCCCCAATGTAGATCGTATAATTTTATTAAAATAGATCATATAAGATGACTTTTTTTTCTTGATACGTGTTAATAAAAAAACTAGTGTATCGGGTAGAAACCCAATGCGGATATATTCACACCGTACCATCAAAAGTCTTATGGATAGACCAAGATTTGCTCAGCATAAGTTTGAAGGGTGATCGTGAAGTACGGCTGAGACCCATATCGACACAGTTCAAAAGTTATAGCTAATTTATGTTATAATTATGTCAGCTACAAAAACACTTAGTTTGAATTTTGTCACCCTCGGGAACACTATGAACCAGTATAGCTGATTTTGGTCCAAATCTCGGCCATACTTCACACTTATTCGAACCACATTTTCTCGTAAATGTTAAAATATTATTAAAAAGTAATTAATCCTGAATTATTTCGCTATTTTGTCAAGTGTTTTAACATAAAGAATTTGTTTTTTGGTTTCCACAGTGAAGAGTATGAACAAATTCAGATGTGGTAGTCGAAATTTTAGATTTCGATTTTTTTTAAGCTATGCATTACAAAAAGTAATATTGGTATGTAATTTATGTCAGAATTATGTCAATTCAAATAAAACACCCAAAAAATTTTTTTGACCAAAGAACCAAGTAGGAAATACATTTTCAATTTTGGACTAGGGGCGACCCTAGTCAAAATCAATTTTGTCAATTTTTTCTTTTTTTTTTTCATTTAAAAGCAATGCTTTTATTGGTATCAAGTTTCTTAACATAAGACTACAGTATTTCTAATGAATAAGGTATAAAGACTAACTTACTCAAACGGTCTTAGAAAGAAAAGGTAAAATAAGATTAAGAGAACAGATAATTCAGCATGTATGGGGTGAAAAGAAAATTTCATGTTTCTAGTTCAGGTCGAACTTATTGTGACACGTTATTACAGTCGTCTCTCAAAGGTAACGAGCTTGAATTGGATGTGTTATAACGACTAATAATAATTTGAATTTAGTTGGAGTGAATGTGTCTTGGCTAAAATTTAACTGAATAAATTTGAAAAAAAAAGTATGCTGTTTATAATTTAAATTAACTTATTCTTTGTGTAAATTTGCTGGATTGATGCCAAAGAGCTGTTCTTGGACAGTAGGAAGCTTTTGATCCTGGATTTGAATAGATTGAGAGATCCAATAAGTCGCAGTTCATCCGGTAAGCTATTGTAGATTTGCACACCGATGATTTCAATATCATTTCCTCTTATTTTAGTATTGTAATTCATTATTTTTAGCTTGTTTACTCGATTCGATCTCAGTTGTTCTATATGGACTAAAGCTGCATCCTGTTCAATAAGTGACTTCTTAATCATTACACAGATGGATTTGAATATTAATCCCATGATCGGCAAGACATTTTTTGCGTATTTGTCATATATTTCGTGAGTATTCGTACGAGGAGGCAGATTGTGAATTAGTTTAAGTATCTTGTTCTGTAATATTTGTAGGTCTGCAATATCTTTTGATGTAAGCCTAATTAGAAAGAAGTTACAGTATGTCACATGTGATTGAAAGTGGCCGAAGTAGAAATCCATTAAAGGCTTGACAGTAAGAGTTTGTCTCATGACATATGCAGCTCCTATTGCTTGATTTAAGCTTTTTCTTAACGTTGAAAGAGCTGTTTGGAAGTTCAGTTTGTCATCTATCATAATCCCTAAGTATTTCATATTCTCAACTGGCGTAATTTTAAAATCATTCAGGACTGTACGTAGGCTTTGAGGAACATTTCCAAAAATGAGGGCTTGAGCTTTTTTGAGATTTAGTGTGAGTCTATTATTTTCATAGTATTCATTAATTAGCGTAATGTCCTCGTGAATTTGCTTTGATGCTTCTTCTAATTGACTCGGGTCTATATCAAATACTAAGACCGTATCGTCAGCGAATTTCAATATTCTCGAGTGTGTCTCAAGTTCCTTCATGTCATTAGTGTAAATTGAGAACAAAGTTGGACCTTTTTGTGTCCCTTGTGGTATCCCTCTCTTAAGATGCCCGATGAAGCTAATTGCATTATTGACCTTTACATATTGTACACGGTTATTAAGAAAATCTTCTAATAATTCATAGGCTTTAGATCGGATGCCATAATGCTCTAATTTAGCCAGTAATATTTTGTGATTAACAGTGTCAAAAGCTTTGCTCAGATCTAGCGATATCATTATTGATGTTCTCCTTTTATCAATGATATTTGATACTATAGACAAGACTTTACTTAATATGTCCTCGCAGCTTCGCCTCTTTTTGAATCCATACTGATAACGATCAAGGATTTCATGTTTGCTGAAGAAATCGTTGAGTTGATTTAATAATGCTTCTTCTATAACCTTATCCAGGGAATTGGTGACCGAGACTGGCCTGTAATTTTCTTTATTAAGCTTCGAGTCCTTTTTGTGGATGGGGTACACAATAGTTTCCTTCAATTTTAAGGGATATTTGCCATACGTAAGCATCTGATTAATCAAAATCTCTATATATTTAGCTAACTCTTTACTTGTTTGAGATAAAATGAATGAAGAAATACCATCAATGCCAGTTGCCTTTCCAACATCCAGTGTCTCTAAGATGTTTGAGATTTCGCTAGTTGAAACAGAATCGAAAGTAAACGTTTGAATAATTCTATCTCCCAGGATAACAGGATCTTCCGGAGATTTGTCCAATGAACCAACTATTGACATAAAATAGTGTTGAAATATATTTGCCACTAGGACATTGTCCGTTATTCTAATTCCATTTTCTAATAAAGTAATATCATTTTTCTCTCTTTGCCTGCCTGTAAGATGATTGACGACTTTCCACGATTCTTTAGTGCTAAGCATAGCCTTATCGTTGTAGTAAGCTTTAGCTCTTAAAGCACTATAGTTTTCTTTATCCTTAATCAAATCACGAAGTTTGGTTTCGAGTTTGGCTGTTGGTCTGCATTGCCCTTTTAGTTCATGTATTCTCTCTTGTAGATTGGATACTCTATTACTGTAATTTACACATGTGATATCCATCCATTTGGGAAGCTCATGATTTGGATCAACGTTTTTCAAAGTGACCGAAATCGTGTTATTGTGTATTAGAGATGAGATGAATTCAATAATGTTGTTACACATGGTTTGTGGATATATATTAACAGGCAAGTACATTATATTATTTCTAATTGATTCAACCACCTTTTTCTTATTGATTCTTTTTATTTGCGTCGATGTTGTTGACGTTATTTTTTCAGTTGATGAGCCGAATTCTTTGATAAATATTATATTGTGATCTGAGAAGCCATTTGTGACTATATTATCCGTTGTAAGAGTAAGGACATCGCATCTATCATGATTCACAATAACGTGATCTATTATTGTATGATTTTGAGTGATTTTGTTATATCTGGTTATTGCATTATTGATAACAGTAAGATTGAAGCTCTCTAAGAGCGAACCGTATGTTTTTGCGCTTTGATTATAATCATTATCCTGAGGTCTATTTAAATTGATGTCCCCCATAATTGTAATGTTGCTTTCGTTTCTCATCATTAATGATTCTAAAGCCTGATAAAAGGCTTCCTTATTGCCTGATGGTGGGCGATAGACCCCCACAATATTCCTCGGCGTGTCATTCCTTTTTGTAATTTCCATATGAAGAAATTCGAAATCGCTTGTCAATTCTGTAAACTTTATTGCTGCTTTAATGTCTTTTTTAATATAAAAGCCTATACCTCCTCCTTTTCTATCTGTTCTTAATTGTGTAAAAAGCTTATAGCCATTTATATTGAAGAAATTGAATTTGCTTGAAATTTTGCCCATTTCAACTATCAATATTAAGTCTAACATTAAAATTGGAGTTTGGGCCCGATCATCATTATCCTTTGTTCCAAGTGAATGAATAATATCATTTATTTTATTAATTTTTCGTTGATTAATTGTATTGACATTCCAGAGCATACTTAGAAATGGATATGTAAAAACACAGTTGACATTCTTGTTCTCATAATTTATAATTGATTTTATTTTTTCCAGGCTGAGATTAAGCATAGAGAAACTCGTCATAGGGTCATCGCTTTCATATTCAGTTTGCTGGAGCTGCTCAAATGGATTCTTTGGTGAGGATAATGAGATTTGGTGGGCATTGCATCATTTTTGTCGAGAGGGTGTCGGAGCTACAGAGATTACTGATATATCATCATCCTGCGAAACGTCATATTCATCCATATTTGAGTCTAATTGTAGAGCGTAATTATCTCGTATCTTGGATCTTTCGTCAATTGTTTTCTTGAAATATTCTGAGTTGTAAGTTTGTAGAGTAGGAACAGTATAATTAAAATCTTCAATCTTCTTACGAAGTGAGTCCATCTTTTTAAAAGAGTTTACAAACGATGAGCTGTATGTTGAACCATTGCTTCTTTGTAACTCTTTGTGATGTACTTTAATACCATCATTTGTAACAAGAACCTTATCTAAGACCCCCCAATGCTTCATTTCGTTGCAGGGCTTAAGAATTGAGCGAATTTCATACGACCAATCACTATTAATTTTGTATCTGATGAGATTAGGCTGTCCATTTTCTTCCAACCTCTTGTTAAAATTTCGTAAGCCATTCTTAACTATGGATGCTATTGTCGGATTCACGAAAGTGCAGCATAAAGCAATTTCCGGAGTGACTTGGTCTGCACTGAATTTTTTCGCTTGGTAGAAAAAGGATTCGATTGGATATTGAGACATGTTGATTTTTATATTCAATTGAGAAAGCATCTCTCCAATTGATCTATACGAGTTTTTGTCTCTGAGGTTTTCAGCATCGGATGAGTAGACAAATCGTATCCAAACTCTCTTTAAGTCGCGTGAGCACAAATGTATCATTCTTAGACATTCAGCTTGATCGTTATCCTTAATTTTTTTTTTTAAGCACCAGAATATTTATGCAAAGTTTCAATCCATTTGGATAAACCCTCGAAGAAAAAAGTGACAAAATTGATTTTGACTAGGGTCGCCCCTAGTCCAAAATTGAAAATGTATTTCCTACTTGGTTCTTTGCTCAAAAAAACTTTAGAATGTTTTATTTGTATTTGTTTTAAGCACTAGAATATTTATGCAAAGCTTCAATCCATTTGGATAAACCCTCGAAGAAAAAAGTGACAAAATTGATTTTGACTAGGGTCGCCCCTAGTTCAAAATTGAAAAAGTATTTCCTACTTGGTTCTTTGCTCAAAAAAATTTTTTTCGTCCAAAGTTTAATTTAAAAAAAATCACAGTGAACTTTTAATTTGAAAAATTCGTAAGAAAGGAAAGTTTTTTGCTTTTTCTGAAGCAACGACTGTTCCTACCTTGCCCAAGAACTATACAGCTATTCTATAGAGCAGCACGGATCAAATGTAAAAAACTAGAAGTCTCTATGATGTCTCGTTATTGAGATTTCTTGCTGATTAACTTGCTTGCTTGCTTGTTTGCTTAGAGAAAGCGTATTTTGCAATTTTCTCAGCAATGCCACAACCAATTTGAAATCTGTTTTTTGAAAATGATGTAAAATTTCAGGCACAAACTTTACTTCTGAGACTTTTTATAACCAATTTTGCTTCGTTTTCTCACAAAATGCGAAAAACTGATGTTTCTATCTGAACAAAACCAATAGATTCACACGTGAAAACGGTGTGGATGTAAAAAATACATTTGTAGATATATCAATGAAAGCTGACAAAGTTTTAACAAAATTCACAAAAAATATTCGTGAGTGACGCTTAATTAAATTGATTTTCTGACATAACGCCTTAACTTTAGGAAGTAAGTTCTATGTCAAAAGAAAGCAATTTCTATTTTTTATAAGATACCATAACTTTGAAATTTGTCACTATTGTGGTTTCGGAGATATTTAAGAAACCAAAACATCACTCACGAATAATTTTTTTGTTCGTCGGGGCCCAAAAAATTAATATCCAATGTTAAATTATCTACATTATAACAGCATTTCATCTTTGTTTTAATAAAATTTTACGATCTACATTTGGGCAGCATCTTATCTGCACTTTATACCATAAAAATCATCTGCATTATCCCTTTTTTAAAGCAACAGCATTTCATCTGCATTTTAGGGAAAATAAATTTCATCTGCACTTTAGCAGTACTATCTGCATATTAGGGTAGCTGCATTTTAGGGATTTCTAGATTGAGGTATCTATATTAGCTTTTTTTTTTTTAAATTAAACTTTTTATTTATTTACATTTAAATTTAAGTATGTACAAAGTTTCAATACATTTTGTTGCTTTTTGTTTTTTAAGGTTTCAGGCATTCAATTTGCCTTTTGTCTCTTAACTTTCTTTTGTATTTCATTTGATTTATTCGGTGTTTTGAGATGCAAGACGGCTGTTGAAGTTCGCTTGCAACTTTCCAACGTAGTCTTCGATGGACGGTATTTTTGCTTCTGTATGAAGATCGGTGATCCTTTCATATCTTGTTTTATTGAGAACAATTCTCAAGAATTTGTTTTGCAGTACTTGAAGTTTTTGAAGGTGGGTTTTTGCCATGCTTCCAAATGCTGGACAACCATATGTGAATATTGGTCTGATGGCTAGCTTGTAGATGAGAAGTTTGTTTCGTACGTCGAGTTGTGAGTTCCTGCTGATGAGCGGATAAAGCTGTCTTAATGCGGTGTGAGCCCTATTGGTCACATACTCCACATGCGGCTTTAATGTCACTCTCTTGTCGATCACCATTCCCAGATATTTAGCTTCTGTTTCCCATTTGATGTTTTCGTTGAGAAATTTGATGTTATTTCCTGGTAGTTGCCTGGAGTGCCTGTTTGTGATGAATAAGGCTTGAGTCTTCTGTTTGTTGAGGTTGATCTTCCATTTGTTCATGTATTGTTGAACTTTTCTTCCTGTGTGCTGTAGATGTGTCACAATATCGGCCGAGTTCTCTGCAGAATGATACAGTGCTGTATCATCTGCGAAAAGACCGATGTTGTTGGTTGTCTCTCTTACAACATCATACGTGAAGATGTTGTAGAGAGTTGGTGAAAGCACTGCTCCTTGTGGCACTCCGAATTTGATTACCTTGATTTCTGAGAACTGACCTTTAATAAAAACTGCGAAAGATCTTTCACTGAGGAAAGATCTTACAGTTTTTATAAGTGGCAGTGGATATATCTATATTAGCATTCCTTATCATTTATAATACCTAGATGTGTTTAAAAATGCAATTAAAAGCATTTTTGGTTTTGATCATAGTAGGCTATTTTCACCAAAAGATATCGATTTTATATCTATATTAGCATTCTTTATCATTTATAATACATTTATTAATATTGTATTTTTGGAAAGCTTAAATTTGGTATAAATGCGCCCACGTTTTAAGATGTAGAACTATACGATATGGTCGATGTGAATAAATTTGCAATTCATGTATGGTCATGACTTTAGTATGAAACTTTCAAATCAATCTCAATTTTCAAACCAATGTCCTTTGAACCCAATAAAAAAGTTATTTATTATTTTTAGTTTTAAAAAATTATTTAAAGTATCTATCGATCAGCTGTGCTATCGCACAGCAAAAGTTTGTAAACTAGAATTTAACCATAGAAAGTCGTACAACGTATTTTTTGTGATTAAAACTTACAACGGCTTTTTGAAATTTATAATAATTGAAAGTTGTACATATGTTATGTAAAAATAAGCTAAGCCGTAAAGAGGAGAAAATTAATTTAATTGTACTACAATTAAGCATTTTTGAGTTTCCAAAACTTGCATATTGTATTGTCACCGGAAAAATAAGTGCATGCAAAATTTCAGCTCGGTTGGAGCAGTAGAAGAGGTCAAAAAATCGATTACAAGATTTGACCTCGACAGATAAACAGAAAGATAAACAGACAGATAAGAAAGCAAGTTAAGAAAAACGTGGTAAAAAATTATATCGATTTTATATCTATATTAGCATTCTTTATCATTTATAATACCTAGATATGTTTTAAAATGCAATTCAAAGCAAAAAAAATTATATCGATTTTATATCTATATAGCATTCTTTATCATTTATTATAATACCTAGATATGTTTTAAAATGCAATTTAAAGCATTTTTGGTTTTGATCATAGTAGGCTATTTTCAAAAAAATATCGATTTTATATCTTTATTAGCATTCTTATCATTTATAATACCTAGATATGTTTTATGATGCAATTTAAAGCATTTTTGGTTTCGATCATAGTAGGCTGTTTAAAAAAAATATCGATTTTATATCTATATTAGCATTCTTTATCATTTTTAATACCTAGATATGTTTTAAAATGCAATTCAAAACATTTTTGGTTTCGATCATAGTAGGCTATTTTCACCAAAAAATATCGATTTTATATCAATATTAGCATTCTTTATCATTTATAATACCTAGATGTGTTTAAAAATGCAATTTAAAGCATTTTTAGTTTTGATCATAGAAGGCTATTTTCAAAAAAATTATATCGATTTTTTATCTATATTAGCATTCTTTATCATTTAAAACACCTAGATGTGTTTAAAAATGCAATTTAAAGCATTTTTGGTTTTGATCATAGTAGGCTATTTTTAAAAAAATTATATCGATTTTATATCTATATTAGCATTCCTTATCATTTATAATACCTAGATGTGTTTAAAAATGCAATTAAAAGCATTTTTGGTTTTGATCATAGTAGGCTATTTTTAAAAAAATTATATCGATTTTATATCTATTTATATCTATTTAAAAAATTGCAACATACTCAAGTCAACTAACGACAACGATGCGGCTATGGCTGCTGAGAATATCATCAAAGAACAAGGACTCTCTCTTCGTAAGGCATACATCACTAAAGCCATCATACTGTCTGGAATGAAAAAAATTAACAAGATTAACAAATTTGTCAAATACCTCTACGTCCACTTTAGTGATTCCTTCACTTCTGAGCGACTAATAGCCGAAATGACTGTAAAAAACAAAAATTCTTCAAATGTAAGCAATCCAGAGGTCATATTTGCACAACCTTCATCATACGACATCAGTAGAATCAAGAGGATATGCCACGAACTGCAATCTGACAAATCCATAAGTAGAGTGTTTCTTGGAGATGATTCAATTAAAGTGACCCTAAATAAAAACAACCCAGAAGATAAAAATGAAAAACCAAGGAAAATTCATGTAAGAAATTTTTCTGATTTGGACAAATTAAGAAAAGACGTAGTTGCGAAAAATTCGCATGTTTCTTCAAGGGTTTTCTATAATAAAA